TATAGTTCTATACGTTACGTGAAAAAATATTTATTTTATAAAAGCGTTTTAATTAAATAAAAATAATACGATATTTTACGTGCTTTTTTTGTGACGACACGCCAGGTCTCCTGGACCTACCTTATATGCGCCAAGCTACTTCCTTCCTTTTTTCCTTCGTATTCTTCGTATTCTTTCATTCCCCGCTTTTTGACCTATGAACCATGGTTCACGAGTCTTTGGCGCTTTTACTTTCGTGTATATAGACTTTAGCTACTTTCGACCTTTATACTCGATAGTTGTTGATTTTAAGTTATTACTTTAAGATTCTCTTGAGCTTTTATGTGAACCCTCGCGCTCTCGTGAGTTCTTTTAAGTAATCGCTTAAGGTCGTCATATTATTAACAATTATCTTACTCCGCCGAGAACGGCTTTAATAATATTCTTCTTTTTTAGAATTCTTTAGTAATTGGACGTTAAAAAACATTTAAACGATACTAACGGTTACGAGAAGGCTTATTTTAAGTATAACTTAAAGGATAGCATTTATATAATATAGCAACTTTCGCTTCGCGGGTAAAATCTTCCGCACACTTCTTAAAGCTGCTTTAGCAGCTCTTTCTTCCTCTTTTACGGCCTAACTAGTAGTTCCTTTTACTTAAGAAGAAGCTATTAGTAAGCAAGACGATGAAGATGATCTTTCGGCCCTTACTAACCTCGAGGAAGCCTTGGCTTAATATTAAGCTCTTTTCTAGTCTTAACGAGAGGCTGCTAAGCTTAGAAAGCTTTTCGCAGATATAAAAACTCGCAACGAAGAGCTCGATAAAAACGCTAGCGAGCAAAAAACTCTCGCCGAAAGGGCTGAAAAAGAGGCCCGTCGAGCTCGAAAAGAACTGGACTAGCTTTAAGCGATCTTGCTAACTACGGAACGCTCGTTAAAGCCTCTTTAAGTCTCTTTCGAAGATAATTCTAAAAGCAAGGAGCTATATAAGCCTTCGGTCTCTTAGACCACTCTTTTTATTTATAGAACCGCTAACCCTCGCCGCTTCTTCGCCGACGACGATAAACCACTTTCTCTTCATAAGCTAACCAACTTTCGTACTCTAGTTAAGTTTAACACTTTTAGAGCTTCTTCTTTAGCTTTTTAAGGTCGCGCTCGTATCGAGCGGATCTTTAACCTTAAACAAAAGCTTTTAGACGGTGTAAGCTATCGAGCACGCTATTAGCAAGCTCGCGTCTTCGATAATTTAGAAGCTTTCGAAGAATACTTCTTTATAAAACGCTAACGCAAGAACTACGTTCTTGATTAAACCGAAGGAATAGCTTACTTGTTTTTAACCCTTTTGGTTATAGATCGTAGCAACTTCGTAACCGCTTCGGAACTCGTTTAGATCGCTTTCGAGTTTTTGAACGACTTCGTTAAAAAAGCCAAAGCGTCAATTGAGTTCGAAAAACTTTATATAAGGCTTAATTAGCAATTTTAAGACTTTTACTTTGTTTTTTCGGAGCTCGCTGCTACCGCCGAAATTAAGGACGAGGACCGATTACGTAAGGCTTTGCGTTCTAAGATTATTAAGACGCTGCGCGACCAGCTTTATTTGGAATTTGCTAAGATTATAACCTTTAAGGACTTTTAGATTGCCGTCTAACAATTAGCTGCTAGCTAATACGCGTTTGCAAAGCTTTACGACGCTTTATAAGCCAGGTATAATACTTAATTCGCGAAGAGCTTTTATAGTAAAGCTCGTACCGAATCCCGCTCGGCTTAAGGAGCAGCGGTCAAGCAAGTCACTTATTACGAGAACCGTTAAGGTAGCTTAACTTCCGTCTTTTTTCCTATCTTTTAGCGCTAAACTTTTAACAGCTTTAGCGCTAGTGTAGATCGATTTAATCGATTTAATAAATTCTCTTTTTTCGGAAACGCTTTTAAGTTAGCGATTAAGACTTTTGGATCGTTTCGCAAGGACTCGAATACGCCGAAGCTCTTTCGCTACCACTTAGTTAACGAGATAGAATACGGCGCTAGACTTGAATACGGCTTTTATTCGAATGACTCGGACGATAAGCCTTACTCCGATGCTCTTGAAGATCACTAAGAGCTCTTTCTTGCTGACCCCGACGCTCTTAATAAGAGAAACGTCGAGGCTTAAGCAAAGCCTCTTTTTTAAGCTAGCTTCGAGACATACGATACTTCGATCTTACGAAGCTTCTTGGTGGTAAAGCTATGACTATACCCGTCACTTTTATTAAGAATGGCCTTTCGTACAAGGTATCTGCTTTGCTCGACTTAAAAGCTAATAAGTACGCGCTAATTAACTTAGCGCTACTTAAATCATTTTCTTTCTTTTTTAAACTTTTGATTCAACCCTTTTCGGCCTTATTCTTTATTAAATCATACAATAGAGCTCGTAGAGCTATTATCTTACATTTTGCACTTCTTAACCTTACGGTCGATAAGCGCGTTTAATCTTTTACTTTTTTTTTATTATTAACCTTAGAAATCATAGCGTGATCCTCGGACGAACATAGCTAACTAAGCACCAGATTCTTTTTAACTGCGCCCGCCGCAAGCTTTATTAACTTCGCTTTAACCTTTCGACCGCTACTTACGCTAAACCTATTAAGATTATACACTTTAATTAGCGTAAAGTAAACGCTCGTCATTAGCACGACGCTAATAAACGTAATCGAGCTTTAGACCGCTTTTAAAGAGCTTACGACGTTAATTCATTCGTGAACTATAGTTTACGAGCGGATTAAGCAATAATAATAGTCGCTAAATCACCTTTTTCTTTTTAAAATCGTCCTCTTTCTTTTCGGAATCGTTTTCTTTCCGCTTTCTTTTTTAAGATTGTTGAACCTTTTTTTTCTATTTACTTTTTTTTAAAGCCGTTATTCCTTCGCTTTACGAAAACCACCTTTTCTAAGGACTACGCTAAATCAATGTCTTAGATGAACCGTAAGCTTGTGTTAACCGATATTGCTTCCGTAGAACTTTTTTTACTTATCAAACGCTTTCGCTAAACATTTAAGTACAAAATCAATAGAAACCTTAAAATCAACGGCGTCTTCGGACACGCCTTTTATATGATTGCTCGATAAAAAGACGTAGAACTGTTCTTTACGTCTTTTTACGAGCTCGATTGCTTGATCTCCGAGCGTCAGACGATTGCTTTTACTTAGGTTGATTATTAAGCAACGCTGACACGCTTTACTAACGGCTTTATCTTTGCTATCGATTTTGCAGCAGAACTGTTAGAGCTTATTAACGACCCTTTTATTTTTCTCGAATACTTCGATTATACATACGTGTTTTTTAAGGCCGCTAGCAACGTGCTAGCACTACACAAGCTTTACGATTATAAAATCGAGCTTTTCGAAAGGGGAGAGAAGGCGCTTCGGTACTTACTATTGTACAAGATGTCGATCCTTGAGCTAGAGCTTATTAAAGCTTACTTTATCGACAATCTTAATAAAGGTTTTATCGAACTTTTAATAGCGTTATTTATAGCTTTAGTTTTGTTTGCTAAGAAACAAGACGGTTCCTTTCGCTTTTGTATTGACTTCCGCGCGCTGAACAACCTTACTCGTAAAGATCGATACCTTTTCTTCTTGATCGATGAGACCTTCGCACGTCTTTTAAGAGCTAAAATCTTTACGAAACTCGACATTCGGCAAGCCTTTCACAGAATACGAATGGACCCAGCTTTAAAAGAGCTTATAATATTCAGAATACGTTACGGTGCTTATAAGTGCAAGGTCCTTTTATTCGGACTGACTAATAGACCCGCCATTTATCAACGCTATATAAATGACCTCTTTTTCGACTTCTTAAATATCTTTTGCACGGCATATTTAAACGACATCTTGATCTACTCCTCCGACCTTTTAAAGCACGCTTACTACGTCCGCTAGGTTTTTTAACGACTCGACGACGCTAGCTTCTAGGCTAATATTAAAAAATGCGAATTCAGCATTATTAAAGTAAAATACTTAAGCTTTATCATTTCTATCGAAAGCTTAAAAGTAGATCCGGATAAGACG